AAAATTTTTACTATTTTTAAAAAAAACAAATTTTAAGAAAAACAATTTTAAATAATTTTTATATATTTTATGCATGATATTTATATATATTTATATTCAATTAGTAAAATATTTTTCGTTAAAAATATTTCATGTACTAATAATATATTTTACACATATATTTATATTTAATATTTTTACGTGTTAATAATTATCAATTAGTTATAATAAAAAAGTAAAATAATATTATTTTATATTATTTCTTATGCTATTTAATATGTTATATTATTTTAATATATAAAATACATTACATCATTATAAGAAATTATTTAACATTTAAATTACAAAATAATAGCTTGTTTACAAATTTATTTATTATTTTTTTAATTACGTAAGTCTGTATAATAGCATATCTTTTTTAATTTTTTTAAAGTGACCATATTCGAATATAATCAATCTCGAAGATATTTTCTTCACTATTTGTTCGCCTCCAACTTGATAACCATTGATCTTTTGCATGCCAAAATTGCAACATTGCCTGGAATATTATACCACAATTTCTTAAATAATTATGTTTTGTTAATGTTACAATAGTAAAATAAAATTAACATTGAATTCAAAATAATAGTTATTAATAATAATTAAATCATTGTAATATAATATGTATAGTATATCAAAAAAATTGTTTTCATTGAATTTATTTAAATTTTATGTTGCGTACAAATATTCGTAAAAAATATTCTTACTTTAGCCCCAACATTTTTCCACGGTTTTACATTTCCTGAGCTAGTTGTCCCATCAGGAAATACACGAATACCACCAACTCCTATCCCAAGTGTAATGTAAAACTATTAAAAAAACAATATTTCATAAACAAATTGAAATTATCAAAAATTATATATTCTTTTCTTTAATAAATTAATTTTTTTTATACATTTTTATTAATTTCAAAATATATTCTACATAATTGAAATATAGAAATGAAATGTAGAAATGAAACTTTAAAAATTCATTTATTTAATAACAATTTATTATAAAAAATAAACATTTATATGAAAAATATAAATTTTTATTGAAAAATATAAAACTTTGTAATAAATATTTAAAAAAAAGTTTTATATATTTACATAAATATAATATATTTTTGTACATACTTGTTGATCAAAAGGAGCCATTTTGCTGAAATTATTCCCATACATCCAACCATTTTCTTGTGGAATCAATTTACCAAATTCTTTGCCATCCACAAAAAATTGAAATCCACTGGAATCCCAAATTGTTGTGTAAGTATGAAAATCCTTTGTCCATCTTGGACCATCTTCTAGCGTTTGAGATACTATATAATTTGTAAGATTTTTTGTTGTTCCTATTCGTAATCCAAAATCTAACGTTCTTGAATCGTATATCTTTCCATCAGTAGAAATTAAATTTTCATTTCCACGAGAAAGACCGAGTATAACACATCCACTAGAATAGTTGGGACCATAATAATCATACTTTGGTTGAAGCCACATTTCTATTGCAAATAAATACAATATAATATTTATTATTTTATTAATAAAAATTAAATAAAATTTGTTTATTTTATTTTATTTTTTTATTAATTTTTTTATGTATTGCCGATTAATTAATTCAAGATTCGAATTATTTTGATGAATGTTCAATTCTGATTTAAAAAATATGTATATAATAAAATCGATAATCAAGAAAAAAATTGAATCAATCAATCGAAATCAATTATATTAATATTTACCTGGATATAACCAATCACCATTAGGAAATTTCGCCCTTATTTCAATTTTTCCATATTGAAAACTAAAAGTGTTTTTTGTATTTAATCTAGCAGACAAAATAGGTGGCAATATATGGAACGATTTACCCTTACGTTCACATTCCTCTGAAATCTTACTAGTGCATCTATAATAAATGAAAAAATTTCAAATTATTTTTACAAAATGATGAATAAATATATGTTATGCACCTAACGCATAAAAATTCGGCAATGAAATTAAAAAAAGATGAAAATATTGTTTTTCCGTGTGAAAAGTTATATATGTTGAAAATTTATAGTATTTTTACCCACTAAGTATCAGTTTTCCGTATGTAGTTGCATTTTCACCATAAAGATTTTCTAATATCAGTGGCTTGATTTTAAGCAATCCATTTTCAACATATATAGATGAATGTTGATCATTGTGATAAACACAAAATTCATAGTCCTGGTAAGAGAGTTATTAAAATAATTATTAAATATTTATAACAAATTGAATATTTATAGTTATGTATAATATTAAATAAATTATTTCTACTTACAGGAGTTAATGGTATCTTAACTTCATGATTCCAAACTGAATTTTTTAAGGAATCAAAAGTTTCGTGAAATAATAAATTCATGAATTTATTGGTGATTGCAACTAAAAAATAAAATTATTCTTTATATTTTTCTTTTTTATCTTTTTTTACAATTATGTATAATTTCTATTTTATTTTTTAATTATCATAAAATTCATTTTTATAATTCTCTTAATTAAAATAAAATTATATATATGAAAATAATGCGAATATAATTTTGAGTAAATATAATATTGAGTAAAACCTGTCCAAGTTTGTTCTCCACTGATATGCATTGCTTCATTTACTTGTATATAAATCCAATAATGTATAATGTCTCCTGATACTATATTTATATTTCTATTTTCAATGGTCCATTTTTCATTTTCCTTTCTATATACTTCACCCGATATTTCTCCTAATTGATTTAATTTAAGTTTTTTATTTATATTTCCTTGAAATGCAAAAAATTTCAAGCCTTGTTCGTCTGTTGTAATATAAAAATTCATATCATATTAAATTCAATGCATAAATTTTGGACAATGCATAAATGCAAATATTTTCGACAACTTAATCCTATATTTTAGAATTTTTGTATATCTAGTTTATCCTTTTTATTGTGCAATGTTTGGTATTTTTTTTATTATGAATTTTTATTATTCTTAGATTATTTTTAAATCTTTATGCAAAATTTTTTGAGTTTTTAAATTAATATTGTAAAAGTAAAATTCTATTGCATTTTATACATTTATTATGAACATATCTTTTTTTGTTCTTTTATTTTTTTGATTTAAACAATTTTTTTAAAGAAATATAAAAAATAATTTTTAAGAAAAAAATTTTAAAAAATTAATATTAAAATTGTAATATTAGAAAATATATATTAGAATAATAGAATTCATTTTCATTATATAAACATATATAAAAAAACAAAGCTATAAAAAAACATATTTCAACTTAATAAATAAATAATTTGATAATACAATATAATAATAATATGATAATTAATAAATTTTGTTTTATTCCATTTCATTTATAATGCTTTATTTATAATTACAGTAATTTAATTTTAGGGAATTTAAATAATTTTTATTCATATAATTTTATCATATATAATATTCACAATTATTATATAATTTTTAATTATTATTTTTATTATATATTACTAATTATTTAATTTTTTTTTATTATGCGATTTAATTTAACATAGCTTCATATTTTCCGCACAAATTACTCATCCTTCCATTCATAAAAAAAATTAACAAGTAAATACATCCGGGGAATTCCAGGATTATCTAATTGTCATATTGCTGTAAGTATATCTATATTTATATATGCGATTTAAATAATTTTTATATTATATTTTAATTCATATAATTATACAATATACAATATGTATAGTTTTTGTTATTTACTTACTTGGTATCCATATACGAATTCCTTTTGGCTCTAAAAGTTCGAAAACTGGTGTAGGTAATACATAAGAATTTGCTAATATAAAGTAACTGATTGAGTTTAATAAAAATATTAAAATTGAGACGAGAAAAGTATTCAAATGAAGCATATTTCTTAAAAGCATTTAATTGATAGAAATGAAATTATTTATATTAATATCAAAGGTCACGCGATATAAAAATGATGTTGCTTGAAGTGTTTCTAACAATATACTGATCTCATAATGAAAATGTCGATTATATATGAGTAAATCATTAATTAAAAAAACTCATGTTTTTTATCATAATAAAAATAATACCAATTTATGAGATTTTTTAATAAAAATTAATTTAAATATAATTCTATTAAAAATAAGAATATTTATATTAATTGTATTATTATATATTTACTTATATATATTGTTATTTTAAATAAATTAATTGTAAATATAAATAGTTATGCATATAGATAACATCAATCAATAAGTAAAAGAAAGAATAAATAAAATTAATTAGTTATTATAATTATAATTATTTTTGAGCATATTTTATAATATCAATAGACAAAGACAGCAAACAGTGTAAAAAAGGACAAAGATATAGTAAAAATATTGAAATCAGCGCCATCTTCAGAGTGCTGCAAATGAAACACATAAAGAAAGGACAGACAATAATAGAAGAAGGATAGAAATAGAATAAGAATTGATCATATGCGCCATCTCTTGAATTTCATAAATACTTTTTGAATGACTGTTCATCAATTGTCTTTAATACTCAAAAGATGGCGTTGGAAGTCAATTTCTATCTTATGTCCGTCTTTCTCTAACTATTTTCTATCCTTTCTTTTTGTGTTTCATCTGTGGCACTCTGAAGATGGCGCTGAATTCAATATTTTTATCCTATCTTATCTCTATCTTTTTCTCATTATTCACTTTCCTTGTCTTATTTATTCTGAATTAATAGAATTAATAATGAATTAATAGAAAACTTGACAAATGGCGCCATCTCTCGAAGCTATTTAGAAATCTGAATAAGAAAAGTTTTAGACACTCTTCAAGAGATGGCGTTGGAAGTCAATTTCTACCCTATGTCCGTCTTTCTCTAACTATTTTCTATCCTTTCTTTTTGTGTTTCATTTGGCACTCTGAAGATGGCGCTGATTTCAATACTTTTTCCTATCTCTGTCCTACTCCTATTAATAGCTCTCTTTGTCTACACTTACTATTGGTAACTATATTAATGTATATATGATAAGAGATGGTGCTGTAAGTTAAATACTAAGAAGATCTAAGCTATAATTTTTTAGAAATTATGGAAAGAAATATAAAAATATATAAAAATTAGAGATTGATATTTCTGAACATGAAATACAAAATTTTATAAGATTATTGTATTAATATTTAAAATTTAAATTGTAAAAAATGTAACAAAATTTCGAATACGTAATTTTACTACAATATTCTGTGTAATTTTATGATGTCTTGGTATCTTGTTTAATCAATATAAAATATATAAAAAGCTTATATCATGCTATTAACCAAAGGTACAATAAAACATAGTGTTTTTAGAATTTTATCGTATGATTTAGTAAAAAGCATTATAAATAAATGTTTAATACAAGAAATCAACGTAAAATGCCAGGCAAATATAGGTTATCATATGCTACATTTTAAAAAGGATTTAAATATAAGTAAAAATTTAAAAATATTAAGTTATGAATCAATTGTTCATAATCATTGTGATAAAAACTTGTTCATAATCTCAAATAATAATTTATCTACACAGTAAGTATATTAAAATGATAATAACAAAATATTCTAAGTTTTATACTAAGTATTCTATATTAAGTTTTTCTTATTAATATTTTGAATTTTAATATTTTATATTATTATTTAATAATATTTTATATTATTTTCATAATTTTATGTATACTTAAAAAGAAAATATCAATAATCAATTATGTAAAAATGAAATTTTTTTTTTACAGAGAATTAACATCTGTACAATTTGAAAAAGTTTCTGATGAGACACTTACTTCTTTAACTGAATATTTTGATGAATTAGTAGAGCAAGCAATACATTTATCAGATGCAGATGTATCATATGGAGTATGTTTTACAAATGAAATATATATTAAACTTATAACGTATAATATAATAATTATGATATACATTATATATATTAATTATATGATGTATTATAGTTATAGTTAATTACATTATAATTAATATTACAGGATGGTGTTTTAACTGTTAAATTTGGTGATTCTTATGGTACATATGTTATAAATCGTCAAAGTCCAAATAGACAAATTTGGTTATCATCCCCAAAATCTGGTCCAAAACGATATGATTTTATAGATGGTAAATGGATTTACAAATATGATGGAAAATCATTACATGAACTACTCGATGACGAAATACCAGCAATTATAGGAGATCAAACAAATTTTAATAAATGTTCCTTTAGTGGGAAATAAAAAGAAATTATAGTGAAGTGTCTTTAATTATATATTAATTATTCAAATTGTAAAATAACTAAATTTAAAAAAAAATTGAAAATTTTTAAATTTATGTATATAAATAATAATAGATAAAATATTGTAATATATTTATGTGAGTACCTATATCTTTAAGATATTAACACTAATAACTTGCATGCTGGAATGGCACATATATTTTAATTATTCTTTATATTATTTTATATTATTTAGTTTTTATTAATATTTTACATATGTGATATTAATATTCAAGAATACTTTATTTTAAAATTTACATATCGTAAAAACATATTCAGAATCATATTCAATCATATATATTCAGAATCAATGTAGTTTATTATATTATCATTAAATATGTTTTTTGTAAATAATAAATAATATATGAAACTATTATTCGATATTATTTAAAATTTATTATCAATAAATATTTTTATTTAAGACAATATTAATATTGTATAATCATTTATTATATTTTTCTAAGAATATTATTTGAATCAACAAAGAGAGAATAACAAAAATGGAAATTATGGAAGATGGTAATTTAGTAGATCGTGTTAGAATTTTATTACAACGAGACATGCAATATTATCAGGTAGTTTTTTATAATATTATTTTATATTACATTATTTTTAATGTAATAAAAATAATCTTTTACAAAATAACAAAGAATTTATTATGAGTTAATATCATATATATGATATCATGATGCAGGAAATGCAAACCGTGTTGAAAGAACCACTTTGTTCGCGTATAAGTGGTGGAAAACTTGATTTCCCAAGGCATGCTTCATTCGCTGCTGTTAAAATTGTTATGTGGTGGGAAGCAGATTTTCAAGCTGCATTTAAACGTCATTCCGGTTTGACAAATTTAATGGAAAATGAGATTTCTGCAATTGTAGAAAGTGAAGAGAAAGTTATTAAAAAAATTCAACCTTCCGAATTTGTATTACTTGTTGTCGATACTGCCGATAAATTATTAGGTAAAGAAATACAATTTCGGAAGAAATAAAAAATTAAATTAAATAGATAATTCAAATTAGTTTGTTAAATTAAAGGGAATGTTTTAAATTTTGATATAAATATTTTGTAATAAAATCATTTCAGAACATTTACATTTACTTATTCAAGAATCATTAGATCATGCAGATTTGACAGTATTAACAGCTACTTTGGGAGCAGCTGCATTGATACGAAATTCTTTATGGTGTTATAATCAACAGGCTAAAAATTTAATTTCCTTACAGTCAAGGTATTCATAGTAAATCATTGTAAATTCTTTTTTTTTAATTAAATTTCTTATTTTGAATAGCGAGAAATTAAATACATCGTATAAGTCTTATCATGAAATGACTGAAGCTGTGGCAGAACGATTATTGGATTTGCATTGTCGTTTAATTTCATTATATATACTTAATGAAGCCGATTCTCTTAGTTGGCATGATGCTAAATCATTTTTTGAACGAGAACGTTGTTCTTTTGTAATTCAAATGTGGTGGCTATATATGAATGGTAATTATAATTTTATTCCATTATAAAGTGTATAATTTATTATGCATTATAAAATTAAAAAGTATATATTAATAATATATAATATCATATATATAGATTTATAATATATTTATATAATATATTTATATA